CCCTGATACACATCGATCATTCCATCCACAGGTCTATACTACCAACTGTCACTTATTCTGGCATAGATCGCGATAAAACTACCCTTCCTTACAGACACTTCTCAAGGAATCACCTCAACCCTCTTTAAATGATACAAGGAAAATTGATAAGTAAGAAGGTATTCTTTAAAATGTGCAAATATACCAAGAAGAGACATGCCATGATAGTGATCGTGTTATGGATAATTAAAAATAAGGCATCAATCGTAATTTGATAGATGGAAGAAGTCAGTTTTTTGCTAAACATCACCTAAAGCGTGAGTAATCCTTCCCTTGGGGTAAGCATTCTACGATTTCCCTTCCTTAACCACTGCTCAACATGCAGAGTACGTGTTCTCTTTTTAACGGAAATCGGCTTGCTGTGGAAGGTGCAGTGATAGAGGCAGCCGGACTATAATACATTTGATAAGGATGAGATATGGACTGATAATACAAATAATTACCATTTCCTTCCTCTCCTCCTTTCTTCTTTTGCACAGATATCCGTGTAAACAGTCAGTCTGAACCACTAATTCTGTCTAACTACGAATCGTTGTCATTTTTTGGAAACTCAAACTTTAAAGCACTTGGATGTGCAGGTCTACGTGCAAGTTTTGAGGCCTAGCATTGTCCACCTTGTAGGATGAACTGTAAGATGGGTTGCCGGACCTAGGAACTAGGGAATCGCCAGATGGGTCTGAAACAAATAATACATACCAGTCTTCAGTCAGGTGTTGCATGGCAAAATATAAAACAGTGATAAGAACTGATGAACAAAAAAAGACAGACAGAAATAAAGACAAATATTACAGAGCCAGAGGATGGCTAGCTGACTGGTGGACATGGTAGTTTGAAACGCTGTAGGTTCTTGCCATGAGAAAATTAGTTTAGCGGACTTTTGTTGAGGCGGGACATTTGCGTAGTAGGTGGATACACGAGAATCGAAGGTGGGTGCTTATACCTATACGATAGCTAAATTCGGTGGTATTGACGGCAATGGCAACAGAGCACGGTATACTACGTCTACTACCGATGGTGATTGATTGCAACGACGTAGGAGACAACAGGAATAGGCCAATGGTCATAACTTAATATTTCCAAAAATGTGCAAAAAGAGACCCAATTATCGTATGCTGCAACTTCGTACAAAGCATCGTGCTAATACTTTCATCCTCATGGCCACCGTCAAGCATCAAATGAATTTAACAAGAAAACAAAATCAGTCATCAACCATTGTGTTTTGCTGTAACGATACATATGACTATTAGTGCATTTCCTCCCAATCGATCTACCTTCTTCAAAAGCGAAGGCGTCACATATAGGTGACGCGCGAGTTCAGGTAATAAAATCGTGTCAAGGGAACAATGGTGGAAGTGGGAAGTTAAGATCAACAAAAGGCAAAATAACCTTTCCTCTTCTACACTCAACCACGTACCATCCGCTCTGAAAGTCTGAAACACGAAGAGACCTGTCAGTGCGGCAGCATTTGTGGTAGCCTCAAAAAAAATGAAGTTTTGCATTTAGAAGCGAATGCACTGTGCTAATTCTTTACACAAAAGATGGTGTATCGTGCGCAGTTCCATTAAAGGTTAGTTTGTGTGGACCATGTAAGGTGTATGCGCACATACACAAA